GGGCGGGCGCGGGGGCGGCCGCCTCGCATGGCCGCGGGTGCCCCTGGGCGGGCGGGAGCAGCGGCAGAGCCGCCGAGCCGGGGCCGGCGCAGACCGCGGCGCTGCCCCGCTCCGCGGCTCTCCGCTCCGGCCCGGCAGCGCGGGTGCCGCGCCGCGCCGCGCCAGGAGCCTTTAAAGCGGCGGCGGCGGCAACCGCTGTGCCTGCTGCCCTCCTCTGCCTCGGCCGCCCGCCCCGCTCTCCCCTCCCCCGGCTCCCTCGCTGCTCCGCGGGGATCACGTGTTGTTTGGAGCCCTTTCCCCCTCCTCCTCCTCCTCCCGCCTCCCCCGCCCCACTCGCCGCCTGTCGCGCCCGGCCCCGCTCGCCGCGGCCCCGCCGGCCGCACGCCCCGCTCCGAGGAGATGCCCTCAGCGCCCAGCGGGGCGGGCCCAGGGCAGGGCCGGCGCGCAGCCCGCGCTCCCGCCGCTGCCGGGTGGGCGGCAAGGGCGCTCCGCTCTGAGCCCGGCGCTTTGGAGCTGGGGTAAGGGGAAGCAGAGGTGGCCCGGTAGCCCCGCACGGCTCCGCGGGGAGCGGCGGTGCCAGCGCGGGGACTGGGGACGATCCCGGGGCCCTCCCGTGGCTGCCGCCCCGGCGCCGCCGCCGCCAGTCCCGCCGCGGTGCTGGACAGCTCCCTGGCAGCTCCGGAGGCCGGGGAAGCCGGTACGCGCTTCCTGCCAGCCCTCCCCGCCAGCGAACTTTTGGAATTACATTAGGGAAGCTGAAGCTTAAGAAATAAATTAATTTAAAGAACTGGGGAGACAGAATGCCGGCCATCAGGTTTCAGAAGCAAAACTTGTCGGTTTTGTGCAAACACTGCTCACGTTAACACTGTAGTTCATGTCCTAAACAGCAAAGAAACTAAATTCATTCCCATGCTACAGCCCTGGCAAGGGGAGGAAGGACTGGGCTAGAGGACCCAGAGCAGAGGAGCTTCGATCCCGGATGACACACAAGGTGTCTCCTTCCCAACTTTCCCTACCCATGACAGTTTAAAGACGCCTTTATAGTTTCAATCGTGATAACCCCATGTATTTCTCCTCAGCAAAAATGCTCCAACGAAATGTGATCTCAGCTGAAGTGGTTCGTCCTACCATCATTGAAGACAGCTTGTCATTACTTTCCCTTTGTTCAAACAAAACTTATTGTAAAAGGCAATGATTTTTAGATAGTTTTTTCTCTACCTCTTCACTGTATTATGACATGTTTTACAGCCTTATCCTTTTAAATGTCTGAATGCAGCCTAAACAAGGACTCACTGAAGAAACTAGGGATTTACAGGTATGAAGGAGCATTTGAGCATGGCCCCAGGCAGCACAAGCCAGTGTCTGCTCTCAGAGGGGGCACAGGTCTATGGCTGAGCACGCTGCTTTTAACTGGGGCACAACAACCTTTGCCAGGACATTGCTTTCAGTGTGTCATCCTTGTTTCCCTTGACTCGTGTAGTGTCTTTTTTTTTTAAATATAAATAGATATGGAGTCTGATGATTGAAGGTTGTGGCTCGAAAGGATGTGTAGTAAAACCAGAGTGTTCCATACTACCTTCTGTTGCCATAGGAAGTATTCCACTTGGGATGCACAGACTTTCTTTTTGCAGTCCTGGTGATGCACAGACATGAATAAGGCATGACTTCACATGCAGGTAGTTCACACATGAACCTTCACATCTGTTGTCCTCCTGTGTGTTTCCTTGTCGAGTGATTAACAGTACTTATCAAGTATCTGAGAATAGGGAGGTGAAACAGTCACTCTGCTTTTTTCTTCTTCCCTCCAAAGAAATCCTAATTTTCACAGATTCCACAAGACCTGCTGCACAAGCCCATGCTGGCCCACAGGCCAAGCTCCCACCATTGAGGGGACTCAGGAACTAAGGGGTCTGGAAGGTGCCCTGTGGTGCTAAACATCATCCCTAGCACAGGGTACTCTGTGTTAAGATGTAAACATTCTTTACATGCTCCAGTTTCCATTAAATTTACTTCCTTCTCATAGACCATTTCATGCAGTCCTCAGTGAAGCAAACTACCACTGGTTTCCTGGCTGATGCAGTGACAGTGACAAACTGGGTAAGAGCCACATAGTTTAGCACAGAAAAATGTAAATACATATTTATAAGTTCTAAACTGCTAAAATACCAAAGTGTCAACTGGTTCCATGTGCAGCACTTCAGCTGTAGGATAAGCAACTTTCTTGGAGGCATTTTGCATTTTATTCAGCACTAAGGAAAGGGGTTTCAACATGACAAAAATGACACCTTCTAAGTCTTCAGTTTCCTCTTTTTCTTGAAGTAGTATTTCCCAATGCAACTTCTTGGGAGCATTTGACAGTGCTTCTGAGTTACCCTTGCAGCTTTAAAAATTACTTTCCTCATGCTCTTCATGGCCATATTCCTTTTATGTCTATAATACAGTGATCCTGAAGTGGAAAGGAAAATTCTCTGCCTCAGTGACTATTCCTGAGGTCAGGACATCATAACCAAATGTACTTGAATTGTGAAAAGACATTTTGTGTGAAAATGTCACACATTCATAGTGTGAAAAGACATTTTCCTTCAACATCTAGATACTGAAGTTTACAACTCAGCAAAAAATGCCATTAGGTTCTTCAAGTATTCTTTCCTTCAGATGAAGCAGAGTAAACCTGGATATAGTGTTGGCTAGTCTGATTAGTACAGTTCAGTTACTACATTACATTATCATTATCATTACTACAGTACAGTTACTAAAGATATCAGTAGTCTGCATACTGCAACTGTTTGGGATTCATGATATGAAGTGCACAGAACTGAACAGAGGAACCAGCTGGACAACTACCAAACACCATCATAAGTTGTCTTGAGCTAAATAGAAATGGACAGCAGAAGATCCAAGATGATGCAGATTCTGGAGGTGAGTCTGGTGAGCAAACAAGTAATTCAGTCCCCAGTTAATTATTCTCATTTTATTTCTCTTGATCCAGACACAATCTTGGCAAAAGCTAAATACCACAGGGGTTGCTTCATCTGACAGTCAAATGCCTTTCAGAGCCCATAGACTTAGACATTTACAGTACATAAGAGAACAAATCTTCTTTTATACATGTTTCATCAGCCCCAGCTTGTAGTTGGCACATTATTGGATGAGTAGCAGAACGTCTGTAAAATGAATAAGGTTCACTAAAAGAATGCCAATGCAACTTTTCTCTTACTACAACAGAGAGAAATGTATGTGTCCCACATATATTGCAGACATTTCAGATAAAAAATAGAGTACTTTTAATTATTTTACAATTTCTAATGCATAATTACGCTTCTTATTAGACAGCAGCTGAACATGATCCAGGGTGTGCCCAGGTGCCCAAGAAGGCCGATGGCACCCTGGCCTGGATCAGCAGTGGTGTGGCCAGCAGGAGCAGGGCAGTGACCGTCCCCCTGCACTCGGCACTGCTGAGGCCACACCTCAAATGCTGTGCTCAGTTCTGGGCCCCTCAGTGCAAGAAAGACATTGAGGGGCTGGAGCGTGTCCAGAGAAGGGCAGCGGAGCTGGGGAAGGCTCTGGGGCACAAGTGCTGTGAGGAGCAGCTGAGGGAGCTGGGGGTGTTTAGCCTGGAGAAAAGGAGCCTCAGGGGGGACCTCATCACTCTCTGGAACTGCCTGAAAGGAGGGTGGGGGTCGGCCTCTTCTGCCAGGCAACAAGTGACAGGACAAGAAAACCAAGCCTAAAGCTGTGCCAGGAGAGATCCAGGCTGGACATCAGGAAGAATTTTTATTCACAGAAAGATTGGTTAAGCATCGTATTGGACAAACCCAGGGAGGTGATGCATTAGCACTATGGTTTAGTTGACAAGATTATGATCAGTCAAATGTTGGACTTGATGATCTTAGAGGACTTTTCCAACCTAAATGATTCCGTCTCCATGATTCTAAGGAAAATATTATGAAAATCACAAATGTTTCCTCATTTTTATCTATTTTCATATTTTTGTCTTAGTGCTGATGAGCAAAATTCACAAAACTGAGTTCAGTCCTGGCAGAAAATACATGGTCTTTAATTTCTATTATTTACAGTGTGTTTATTGATAATTATTCATGATTTTTATTTATTTGCTGTTAACTATGCATTTCTCATCAGACATTATATGCTGGAGTTTTGATATTATTTTTATTCACAAATGCTGTTTTTCTGCAGCTCACACAGCCTTGGAAGATTAAAATAACAAAAACAACTTCATCATAGTGCATTGTGTTGTCCTATCTGCCTTTGCTGAGAAAATGCTGCTTGCAAAGCTGCTAAAAGAAAGTATTTGAACTAATCCCTCTTAGGCATTAGTTGCACATATCACATATATCACATATATAGTTCATATCATTTCACCTATTACATTATATGGCTTTTTATAATAATCTTTTTTATAGTACTGCTGAACCTATAAGTACTTAATTTTGCTTTAATAGAAAAGATTGTTGTCACGGGATCAATGTCTCCCCACAGAGAAAGTAAACATCTGTTCTGCAAAGCATTTCTAAAGCAGCAGGAGACCGTTATCCTGTGACAACATTGTGTTAAAATTACTTTATTGCAGTCAGGCAAAATGAATGATGTGTAGCGAATTTATTCTTTTTTCGCCTTCTGCCAAACCTTCCTGTTCTTTATCCAATGACTTCCGTCTGGAGTAGTGCCTGGAAGGATGGCTGGGGCATTCTGCCATTCGTTATTAATGATCTGTTGAATTACAGCTGGCCTAAAAAACAAATCAATTCTATATTTCAGCTACTCAGAAATACAGTTTATGTGCAAGGTGCAGCAAATTCACATCCGTCTAAGTTGTTGTTCTAGTCATCAGGTTATGTTTGAGTCCAGCATATTACTGAAGCAGTAATGAATCTGTTTTACACTGCAAGATG